TTGAAAATGACCGGTTAAAGGTCGAAATATCAACAAATAAAGGTATGAAGTTCAAAACAGCCACAATTATTATTATATTTTTGACTCGAAAGTCGGATTTTGACTAAACTTTTGTTGCTTACTTTTCATAGTGATACATTACATTTGTTCACGGCTGAAAATCTTACAATTGACAATAGTTTATTAAAAATATTTTAGTTAAATAAACATGAATTAAATTACCTGCTGTTACTATTTTGTAGTGATTTGGGCTTTTACATGGAATCATGAGAACAATATAATACCAAGAATTGACCTCAAATAATAACAGGAAATCAGAGAGAGGAACATGTCACTCAAAATTCTTATATATCTCCTATACCCGGAAATATTTATATCAGTCAAGTGAAAACTCGAAAACAGCCGAAAAGGCAGTGAATTTTTGCACAAATATAATGTAAGGGCACATTATTTTTGAAATCAATATGCCCACACATTATTTTCTGAACGTCGATGCTGACATTTATTTCGTATGACCCTAGACTTATAGTCAAGGGAATAACGTGCGGGCACATTCGAAAATAGTGTGCAGGAGTATTATTTTAAAAGTTTTTATGGTTAAAATCTGGAAAAAAACGAAAAAATGAAGGCAAAGCAATGAACCAAGAAATTTCGACCAATAGAAGCGCACTTAGGGATCATCAAAGTCTTTTATGATTTTCCATGTTGGACTGTCTACCTCATATCATTTTCATCGCTAAGAACCTTATCCTCCACTCGCTATTACATTTTCATGTTTTGCGGACGCAGATGCCGAGATTCATTTCGTATGACTCTAGACTTAGAATTAAGAAAATAACTTTTGAACAATTAGAGATAAAGATCCCCGATTTTCATCAATCGATAGAGGCATTCGTAAGCGAAATAAATATCAAAATCGTTTGTCAAAGTAGGTTTTTGGGATGATCTTTGGAATACTAATTGGATTCCACCTCGACCACACTGAAACTGGCGACAAGATTTGATTCTGGAAAAGAAATCAAAAGCCTGAGGAGTTCCAAAAGAGAAGTTTTCCACGTAGGTAACCTGACGAAGACTACAAACAGACCATATCAGAATCTGTTGGTTCACAGTTATGTGATGGATCTTCAGAGGCCAGATTTTGAGAGACCAATTCAAAAGTTCAATATGGGCATGAAGAAATATCAGATTCATGAATAGTTTAGAAGTTCGTATGAACCCCAGAAAAACTAGGTTTAATCATAAGAGCTTTCAAAGACGTATCTTCATGGTACATTTGGATAATGCTAATCCACGTCATCTGTTTTTATAGAAAACCGTCGGTTAACCGCGGTTAGTCAAATAATCGCCGATTAATCGTGGTAACCACCGGTATTTTTGATACTGCGGTTTGAAAAATTAGTCAGCAGTTAACCGCTTTATTTCGAAGAACCGACGGTTAACCGTTCTTTTTCATGTTTTGGGGTTACCATATGTATGTAAGGACAAGATGATTTATCGAAAAACTTCAGAACTTTTTCCATGACTTCTCGAAGTGTGAACTTCGACTTAGTCTAAATATCTTTCAGACGGCGTCTAAGAGTCTTGACAAGCAGACATGTACTACTGAGTCCAAACCTTCACCCATATGGGACCGTGATTAACTGACAGTTTTCCTGTTATAGAACACATGAAAAAGAAAAATGAAAAAATGCTCAGAGGAGGATTTGTACTGATATCGCTTGCTCAGTAAAAAACGTCAACTAACCGCGATTAACCGTGCATTTTGTGACGGTTCGCGGTTAATTGCTGTTAACCGAATGGTAAAGCGCACACTCAACCGGACTGTTAATTGGCGGTTTTTTGCCCGTTTGATATACATGGGAAAGTTCTAAAAGTTTCTACTGGAACCGACTGGCCATTCTCCCCAAAGAATTTCATTTCTGAAAGCACCAACTCGCAAGTCATATTCAGTGAGTGAGAATGGAATTAATAAAAATGTAAATGCTTACAGATAAAACTATAGCTCGAATAGTAATTTCGAATGCTCATGAGCTTTATTTTGTTTTTCACAAAGTTTTCGGTTGATTTATCACGGTCAAACATTTGAATATCAATCGAGTTTAAATTACCACATGAGAAAAGTAAGAGAATGAGTATAAACAGAATCTTTGAAGATCAACGCTAATTGAATGAATAGTCTTTTACCCTTTTTAAACTTTTAGAAGCAGACATCATTCACGAAGATCATCACAAAACAATATCTACTTCATCATTTTAGTGCCTTCGCATAATCTGCCAAGTTATGTCTATTAATGACTCCACAATTGTTAAAGATGTGGCTCTAACTGAATTGTCGTTGGAAAATAATATATTTTCGTTAATTCAAATAATTCATCCTCAATGGTCAAAATTTAATACAGTTTTTAAGCGGTTTGACAAAGGTCTTAACAATAGTGTTATTGCTGTATTCGAAATTGATACTAATACAAACGAAATTATTAACGAATCTGAAGGATTACTTATAAAAATCTATGGTCACGATACTGATTTATTTATTGATCGTCAGAATGAATTAAATATAATGAAAAAAATATCGAATCATGGTTTCTCTAATAATATTTTGTTACAATTTTCTAATGGTTATATTTGTTCATATATACCAGGTGAAGCATGTAATTCGAAACAAGTTTTATCTGAACATATATCATTTCTTATAGCTAAAAAACTGGCTCATTATCATTCATTACCATTACCAAATGAAAAGTTAGGCACATGTTTAATATCACGAATGAAAAAGTTTTTTTCTGCAATAAAAGTAAAGGATCAATTACACACAAATCTGTCAGCTGATATTGAACATATCGAAACATTTATTATGCCAAGATTCGAATTAGATATTGTTCTATGTCATAATGATTTAGTGGCTGATAACATTATTTACAATGTTGAAAAAGATGATGTTTCCTTTATTGATTTTGAATATGGATTCTATAACTATTGGTTATATGATATCGCTGATCACTTTACTCAATGCGATGATTTATATCCATCAAGAGAATATCAAAAACAATGGTTAAGTGTTTATTTGTTATACAAAACTAAACATAGTAGAGATGAACAGTTTGATTTGGATACACTTTGTAACTTGATTACCAAATTTAGTGCTTTATCAAATCTATTTTGGACATTATGGGCATATGCGAAAGCACATTTAATGAACAATGATCATTTTTCCTATGAAGAAAATGGGAAAATGAGATATAACAAATATTTAGAGCTTAAACCATTTTTATTTGTACAATAAATAAATGTTTGTTTAATAATGTTTTGCATTTTATACGTCGCTAGGAAAAATGTTTGATAGCTTCTCCAAATACTCTGATTGCCTCCGATTAGCGTCGAAAACCGGCATTTATTTGTAAATAAGTAATAATATAACATCTTACTCGTTCGAGAAATATTTCCCCTTTTGGCATGATAGATGCCTCAAACAGGAAATATGATCTGTTCCGGCGTTATCTTGTTCGTTTCTCACCATTCTGTCTGTCATTTTAATGTGCATACTAATGAGAGCAGAAAACGTCGATCACATTTTCCCTCTTTTACCCGTTTTCATTGGAGAGCAATCAAATTAGCAATGTATGTTGCTCAAGCGGACAAGTCGACGCAACAGTCTACTGTTACTATCTTTCAGCAACGATTAAATGACACGCCTTTTTATGCATATCTTAGGTAGACGATAGTCGCTGTGTCAGTTTGTCATGGGAAAAGAATGAAACCTTTATATCTTACTAACCATTCATTAAAAGAGACCTGTACTAGGAGAGTAATCAGTATATGAGTAGATTGGTGCGACTAAGGCGTTCAAAAACGAATTCCCAGATACTGCTTTCCGGTGCGAATTATACTTCGCTGCAATTAAGCGGTACTTCAAGCACTATGTAAAATCACCTTTTAGACAAGGTATGAAAATTGATTTTCATTAGTGGGCGATACATTTTTCCGAAAACGAGATGGTCGTATGCAAATAGAATAAGAACCATTTTTCTTCATGAAAACTCAACTTCTTTTGATTTTGAAGACGATATTCATGATCAGTATAAAGATCTACATCTAGTCCTTTTATTGTTAGAAAAGTGCGAGAAAAAAAGTTTTCCTAAAATCCTTTGGGGAACCCAAGGCGTCAAAAACCTTCGAAGAAAATGTCGAGAAACTAAGTCGAACAAAATGTTTCAAATAACCTCCTGACATGTTTCTGATAGAAAAAATGCAATTCCATTGGGTGCGGGAAACATATCTTATCTGCCCTTCTCCTTTCAGAGACATATGTAGTCGATAGCAATATAGATAAAGCCTAATAAGTTCAAGTTTTCACCGTGAAAAGGTCAGTTTGAGAGGATGAAAAGGTAACAATATTCAGAATCAACATCCGAATCGAATGATATATATTACAAGAGAACTCAGCGCTGCTCACTTTATGCATGAACTGAATGCTGACAAAATGCTCACTCCGTACAGCATAGAAAGTTGATTGGTTTTCGAGGTTTTTCATCGAAAGCTCTGAAGGAGGATTCCCGCGGTTCTGAGGAAATATCGCTCTATTGGGATGAGCATAACCTATCCCAAAAGACATGTACACTAACTTATAGCAGTACCAAAGTTTGTCTAAATGACGCCAGAATGAGCTCTCTAGTACTTTTGGTCTATCTAGAACTAGATTCGAGTTGAAACCTAGGACTAGTGCAGTCTATTGTAAATACTACTTTGGAAAATAGTATTTCACAAAGCTGATGGTAAGTTTTCAAGGGAGCAGGACAGAGGTATTGTCTTTTGTGAAGCAGGTCTTATTGCGAAGCCTACTTAAAAAAAAAAGCTTTGAAGTTCGTTTTTGCATCATATGAACAACCATCGATCCTGCGTTCATTATGGAAATATTTTTAAGGCGAGAATACAAGAACTAAACTTTTTAAGAGAAACTATGCAACTGCTCTTTCCAACCGGGAACATGCGAATACTTTATCATCTATCGTAGTTGGACGCTCGCTTGCAGGGATTGGAGACTTCCAGTTTCACAGATTGTTACCATAAGAATTGTTATCTTTCATATAATTTTTATCTAGGGCTACTAAAGGCTTTTTAGTAGTACTATCAAATTCATATAATTAGACCCGGTCGACTAAAATCTTAGTTTGATCTAAATGATCATCTTCAACACAGCATGCTTTGATTGATTGATTTCACTCTCTCTCCCTCACTCTCAATTTATTGTTGAATATTTCCGACCATATCTCAATTAGAATAGTTAACTCGCTATGTACTTACAAACAGATGACCCATATACAAGTTAATGAATTTTATCACATGGCTTGATAAGAAGAATATAAACTGATTTCAATGACAATCGAGTCACGCTGCATCAAGACATTATATAATTTATTTTCTCGTTCGAAATAGTCACTGGACTATTCCTTAGGGTAATTAAAATCACAATTTGTTGAAAAACAATTAATGAGCACAAATTTTGATATCAATTCAAAAATAAATGAACCGTCCTAAAAGAGATAAATAATTCAGTTAGAGAACTAACAATAACGCTTGAAGACAAACTCTGTGACAACAGACAGTCTATTAGAATTCTCGAAATCTCGAACTCTTTTCAAGTACTGCGTTAGCTACATCTTTTGCTTGATTGAATAATCCATAGACGTATTAAGATTCACATATCACCAGATCGTAAAATTTTAAAAGCTTGTTCAATCAAAACTGACTGCAGATTCGTCTTCTCCATGGTCAATTATCTGGTACGCGAAAACTTTTGGGTCGGGGTACTTTACAGAAAATTTTCGACATAGTTTTGCCTTTGGTTCCATACAGTAACTTTTTGAAAAATTTTTGAGCAAGACCATGAGAAAATTTTTTTCTGAATTACCCCGATCCAAAATTTATCGCGTACCAGGTAATTGACCATGAAGAAGACGGATCTGCAGCCGGTTTTGATTGAATATGCTGTTAAAATTTCTCGATCCGGTGATATGTTATATTTCGAAAAAGTTTCATTTTTGCAGGAATTATTTGGGCACCAATGCCAATAATCTTCAAATTTCTTGAAATACCTCTGAGGTTTTTACACTGCACCGACGGCCTGAATGCATGTTCTTTATATATATCGAAGAATTAATGATTGTTTAAAATTTAAAATAAATAATAGCAGATAAATAGAAGGTGGCAGTACTATGAGCAAGTGCTGGCGAAATAGTTATTCTTGTAGCTGCTTGATCCAGACTCAATGCTAAAATGAATAATAATTATTCAGTTGAATAATACATCCGAGTCTCTGTAGTAATAATACAGGGACTCAGAGTGTTATGTTTTGAAGGAACTGTCGGGACTTAAGTATGGCAGAAACGAACCAATCATCTATCATTTGGCAGTTATTGCCGTTTGGTTTTATTTGATTTGATTACATTATAGTCACAAAGAACGAACGAAACAAAAGGAACAAAAATCAATATACTTCGCCGCTAATCAAGATCTCGTAGTTTTGAAAAAGAATAAAACTTTCAGTATTTCTGAAATCACAGCTTGAGCAAATAAATTGCGACTCTTTCGTTAAGATAAATAAAATGTAAATAAGCATCTATGAAAAAGCATTATGACTATAAATACTTAGAAAAAAGACCGGTACGGTCATTTCAGTCTGCAAAAGGATAGTACATTGCACCTGTCAAAGGAGTACTCTTCCTTAGCTTAAAAAAATATCGTTCAACTTTGCTTTTCTTGAAAATATTCTAAAGTTTAGTTGTAGAGAAACGTTAACTATAATTGAATTATATTCTCTATTGGAGCAAAAGGAACTAGAAGTGTATAGTTATGCTATTTCTGTCAGAATATTGCCTTAGTCAGAGAGACAAATTTGACTTTGACTAGGACAAAATATTCATATTGCACTGTTTTTAGGACTTATCTTCACAGCTTCAACGTAACAAACACCTTATGTTTCTTTTTAAGATGTTCAGCATCGAATAATCAAACTCTTATTCTTGTCGACATATGTATATGAAAACATATTGTTGTGCGAACGAATCATGTCAATGTCCGTGCCGACATATCGATCTCATTCAACTACATTCACAAGACAAAATATAACGGCTGTACCAACATCGGATAAAAATCGTATAAATATGACCAATGACAAACGTAACACAAGTTTCCTTGTGCCCGTCCCACCATCACCGAGATTAATCAACAGTTCGTCTACAGCACAAGATGGACATCAGCAGTTTCGTTACTCTCAAATTCCGCCTACGACGTCTCTACCATCTATATCCTCGACATCTTCAACTGGGATAACATCTAAACCACGTTCGATGACATCACCTAAAGCACGTCTACAATCTATTGATGACGCTGATTCAGAAGAAAAAACAAATCCAAAATTGTACATGTTTAGTAATCGTCCTCGAGTATTAAATCTTCAACAGCAACAGCAAAGTAAATATCTTTCATGTCGAATACGCTCTCGTGTGTCATCCGCGCCAGATGAAAACAGTCTACAACAACCATCTCCGCCATCATCAGCAGTCGCACAAAAACCCTCGTCAGCTAATGGAACTATACAACCACAACAACAGACTCGTCCAACACGTGGTGGTAGTGCTACAACGTCGAATCATTCGTATCGAAAACTCTCCACAAATAAAACTGACGAAAACCATTTCCATCCTGGCAATAATGAACAACTCAACACAACCCATAGATATCGTCTGGTTAAAGTTGATAAAAAACATCAGCAGACAGATCTCGCACAACAAACGCGTTCAAAAGTGCCAGATGCTGTTCAAAAACGTCGAATGCTGGTGCTATTCCGAACAAAGCCAACTCAGAACGTATCTACTAATGAACACCGTTCATTATCGCAACAGTATAAAAAAGATTACTTGTCAGCAACATCGAGAAGCAGTATGAATAATTCGTCAAATATACTCAAGCAAAGCACCCACTCACCAGATTTAAGACCGCATTTAGAGCAACGGAAAATATCGGTGGTGCAACAACCATTAGTTATTGCTAATACAAGTAAGCTAAATATTTTCTATTCCTTGGATTTGTGATTACCGTTTTCTGAAAGCTACAATAGTAGAAAAGTATTTGATAAATTAAGCTATTTCTCAAGTTAGCACCTTGAACTGTTGGAAAAGAGTTTATTTGACGCTTAATTAGTATTAATTTGCTTTTCCTACGTTTTAGTTTCAACCTGGCAACAGTCGTCATCATCTTCTTCTTCTTCATCGTCGGTACCATCACAATTACCTGTTCAAAATCAATTGATTGATCAAGAGCAAGGTATCGATACTCTCAATAAAAACGGAGTATTTGAATTTGGATCAAAAGCTGAATTTATGGATTCAGATGGCATGAAAGCAATGCTTATTGATATTAACAAGCTCGATGGTGATGATTTTACTGATTCACTATTAAAGACAACGCCCAAAACTGATAATCAAATATATTCACCCACACGTCAACAAACAAAACGTTTAGATCCAACAAAATATGAATATATTGTTGATAATTCTCTTGATAATACAACAACAACATTAAAAGTATCACCTCGACCAACAATTCATTTCTCATCACAATACAGACATGAAATGAGACTAAGTTCAAATACAAAAGCACCACAATTATTATCATCGATTGTCACAGACAGTGGAAGCCAAAGTGATAATCTAGGACGAACATTAACATTACGATTAAACACAACAACAATGAAAAAACAAAATTCATTAGACGATGTTGACCCATTAGAAGACGAGAACGAAGATGATGAAGATGAACAAATTGCATTATGTTATGATGAAATATTAAATTGTTACTATGATCCAGAGACAAAGATTTATTATGAATTACAATCAACATAAATTGATGACATTTTGTTTACTTTTGCTTATTATTTTTTCATCAAAGACCAAGTGGTTCTATTGGCGATATTTTTATTCCATTTTTGACACAGTTAATCACGTTAGAAAAATAGTCTTCCCATTTTCTTTTAACAATTCATTATAAGTCACAAATGAAAATTCTCACTTCCAGTTTCATTCACTAAACTTAAGGCTTTTTTTTTCTTTCTTATCTAATAAGTTTTTTAGAATGGTTTTCGTACGGTTTAAGCCGCTGGTCGGATTTCTTCCTCTTGATTTTCTTTTGTATATTTGAAACAAAGATTAATTGAAGATCTAACTTTTTGTTATTTTGCTCATTTTTTTCCTTTTATTTTGTTTGTTTATTTTCTGTTCAGTGATGGATACGTGATGATAAATAAAACAGTTTAACTTTTATTTTTCGCTTGGAAAGATATATTTAGTTATTTTTCTGGATATATAGATGAAACGATGATATTCTTTTGTAACTCCACAGACTATTTCAGTTATTTTCTTTTATTGTTGTCATTGTTTTGCACATATTTTTAAGAGAAATATGATAAGAATATATATTTTTTTGTTTTTGCTCTGAATGTGTGCGTGTGATTTATATATTAAACTAATAGATTGATCATAGAGTTTGAACTCATACTTCTTTTTCATTATTGATGGTTTTTTATTAACTAACGTGGCTAAAACTTCTAAACTAGACAGTCTTGTTATAGTATGGAAAGAATTTTAAAGATCTTTATAAAGCCACAATTCCGGTAAACATCCGATAAATCCATTGATGTAGTTTGAGATTATGAGATCATTATTCTAGAAAACAAGTTTAGTTTATGGTTTTATACAGGCCAATGCTTCTTATCATTAAGATTATGCTCTTTCTCGCTTGTAGATGTGAATTTGTTTTGAACAATTACTACAATTGATTAAATAAAACTTCTAATCTCTCTAATTCTTCGTTATTTTTTTTCTTCTTTTATAGTAAATCTAAAATAGACGCGAGGTAAACGGTACAGATAGATAGATAGATATATGTGTACATTTGTACTGTTTGTTTTGTCGATTGAACAAAAAAATATTCTCGTTTTCGTCATCTATATAACAAAGCATTGACATTTTTTTTTTCCATCTCTCTCTCTCTCGCTAAAACAATATTATTATTGTTGTTCTTTTCAAAATTCTTCTTTTCATGAAACCTTTTAAAAGCCGAGAATAGGTGTAATATTCATGTATGTTAAATAAGTGTGTGCAGAGATATCCTTTGAACAAAATAAAGAAAGTGTTTACATATAATTCTAAGTAATATTAATTCATAATAAGAGATATATTTCTTTGAATATGATTAACATACACTTATCCATCAAGGTCAATAATCTATTGCTTTTTTATCAAATTAATTATTAAATTTCTTTATTGAGATATTTTACCGTAATTTTGATTAAATTTACAACATTTTATATTAGTAATTATGTAAACATCTTTAGATAAAAATAATAGACTTTCTTTTTCCTTAGAATCAGTTGATACTAACACTTCTAGTTGAATGGCTCTTAGTTCTACACGATTGTTTGATCATAATGTGAGTATACTGATTTCTTTCGGTTATTTTTTTTGTACTAACAACCACTTTGGCTTTGATCCAATCTAACAGACAAACATGCATACTTAAATTGAAAAAAATTACTAGCAATCAAATATTGCGTGAACCAAAGTATGTGTTTGATGTTAACATGATTATAATTTTCTTCTTGAAATGTACAAATTAGGTTGGGATGGAAATACTAACAAAAAGAAATAAAAAAAGACTCCATTTTTTTTTTTATTTCTTTTGTATTTAGTGGGCCTGTCTATAGTTTTATTCACAGAGTGTAAGATTTCAATTTTTTTTTGTTTTATACTTTGTTGTCCTATCTTTTTCATTATTACATCTACTAAAACACGAACAACTGTTGTTCACGGAACATAAAAATAGTTTGATTTCCAGATCATCCATATTGATGATACTAATGATATTTTTTGATAAATGAATACGTAAGAAAAGCAAAACGTAACGAAAAAATAAAAAAGAACTCATGTTAAGTTTGCTTTTTAACCCATCGTGTGAACAGGAAACTATGGGAAAAAATATCAGTTCAAATTTAATGTGGTCACCACACTACGTTATACTTAAAAACATTGACAAAATCAATATGGTGAGACTAGCAAGATTTTCATTTTTTTTTTAATTCAAATTATTTTTATGAAAATCAGTATAACTGAGTAAGTGGATGACGCATGTTTAGTTGGATAGAGCAATAAACCCATACACATTAATAAAATTGTGAAATGCGTGCAAATTTTCTATTCGTAACCGATCGTTTAAAAAAGAGCTGTCGTGTAATGTTTTTATACACATTTTCGGTATGAACAAGAATACAAATAAAAACTTAAGGCTGAGTTTGTAACGCGATATTCGGTTGCATTTTTAGAGAAGACTTTAGCTTGAACAGCATCAGCTGTTTAGCATAACTGTTTCTGTTATAATAAGATTGATCTGTTGTACGGCATAGGAGAAAAGAAATATAAATAACCATAACCAAAAAGATTTGAAAAAAATTATCGGACTCGCAATGGACTTGGGACTCGGACTTGCTTTGCTTGCTTCATGACTCGGGCTCGGACCCCATACACTCAGACTCGCTCAGCTCTGGTACAAACCGAAAATATTTTACCGAGTTTTCGTCATAAAATTTGTTTAATAATTATCATTTTATTTTCGATCTGTATTTTTTATGATGCATGAAATATGTCGTATCTATGCAGCTCTTTCCTATAAAAAATATAAAATTTATAAACGAAAGTTCAAAAATTCATTTTTTAAAAAAGTTTACTGACTGTTTTTTAACAAAATTCTGTATTTTTTCTTCTTTTATGTCTAGAAGAAAATATCTTTAAATGCTTATTTTGTTTATGAGTTTTATTTTTGAGATTGACTGCAATACGATATAGGTAGAAAATAAATTTTGTCATCTGTTAGTGATTTATAACAAAAATTATAAAAAAATCTAATAAAATTGTAAAAAAAGTGTTTTTACTCAAATGATTATAAGTATAAGGTGAATGCAATCAAAACTTCTTAACTTTCTTTTATTTCTACACATCGATTTAAAAACAGCACAATCACACTTTTGTGTTTGTTATGTATACACGACAATGAATTCCAGAGAATGAGTTTTCGAGACATCAAAAATAAATCATTCTTTACTGTAATGTTTGACCTGTTCTTAAACTTACTTTTGTATTCAATAGTGAGAGGTTATAAATATAATTTTGAAACTATGATAATCGAAGAAAACTTAAATTTGCGAATGATTTGAAAGTATATGTTTACATCCTTGCTGTATTTCTGGCAAGATTTTTGTTCTTGTCTATTATCATTTCAGACCATTTTCTCACAAAATCAGTCTTAAAAATTTAGACAAAAGTCTTACCTAGTGATATCTTGTGATGTCAGGTAAGGCTCTTAGGTTATTTTTATTTTGCATACTTTTTTGTGTCTAAAGTTATAAAACGCATGAAAAAACGTTTTGAATCAATTTTGAGTGTTATGATGTTGAAAGCATATCCTACCTGTAGGAAAGGTTAAATTGAATGGAAAATTCTAACAAGGAAAGGTCCCCAAGTGCCACTCTCACTTTTCAATGAGACACATCCTGGTTAGTAGAGTTCGACGAGCTGATCATGATGGCATAAAGCGTTCTTCCCCATAGCCACTATTTGGAACGCCAACTCGATTTTACTTTGTGAAAAGTCATTTTAAGCACTTGTTGGAAGATTTAGATTTGAAAGATAATATGATTTTAAACGGTCGGGTTTATACCATTGAATGCGCCGTATTCGACTGTACCTGCTCACATGTTAAACTAAAATAGAGTGGCTAAACATGTCTGTATTTTGCATACTTCAAACTCACTAATACTGCGAGTATAGAGAATTCAAGTCTTTTACTCGAAAATCTTTTGAGAATGCTATGTTATAGGCCAAAAATTAAGAAAATATATCGAAAACATATGTCGACTACGTTTCGAACGCGTCTTGCGCACTCTCTAAGTCTTATTTTGTGATTAGTCTTTGTTTTGCAGCTAATGCGACGAAGACAGACACAAACACAGACAAAGGTGATTTGAAACTTTTTTTATAAAATACGTGAAAAAAGCAATTAGACAGACGTTTTATACTGAGAAGATGAAAGCTATCAAATTTTCAGCTTCTGGGCTTATAACATAGCATTCTCAAAGAATTTTGCAGAAAAAGATTTGAATTCTCTATACTTGCAGTATTAGTGAGTTTGAAGTATGCAAAATACAGACATGTTTAGCCACTCTATTTTAGTTTAACATGTGAGCAGGTACAGTCGAATACGGCGCATTCAATGGTATAAACCCGACCGT